GCCATTTGACTGCTAACCAGAAGGCTGGTGGTTCAAACCCACCAGCCACTCCTCGGAAGGAAGGTTGGGCAATCTACTTCCGTAGTGATACTGTCTCGGAAACCCAAGATGGGGTCGCTATGAGTCAGGTCTGACTTGATGGCACATAACAACAACAACAAGCACCAAAAATTCTTAAAAATAAAACACAAGAAAACTACCAGTTTACTTTTAGTACATAGTACCAAAATTTGAAAAATCTAAAATAACCAGATTTTTAAAAAATTCATTTAAATAAAAGAAATCCAAAGAAAAGCATGCTACCTCACCACCAGTTGAGGGTTCAACATCTGAGTATTTGGAATCACAAACAAGGTCTCCCACTTCCTGGGCCTGGCCAGAGGCGATGTTGGGAAAGGAAGTAGCACAATCCTTTGCAAAATATTTGAACAGTTTCCAGGTGTGTCCATAGTCTGAGGAACGCTCAACTAACATTGCAGCTGGCCGAAAAGTCTATGAAAACAAGAGTTAAACTTGTAATGCTTCACAAAGGTAAATTTTATTCCACTTGAGGTTGAAAGTTTACTTTTCTAATTTCATTTTTTTCACACATTTTTTAAAAAATATACAACAAACACACTGAGAACTCTTTCAAACAAGTATTTGTGAGAACAAACTTTATCCTCAGAATCTAATTCCAGTTACAAATACTTATGATTCTGTCAATTATTATTAATAGAAGACAGATATGAAGGAATATGGTATATAAATAAAGGAACAAATGTAATGAACATTTTACAACAATTTGCATATGATTCTCTATGTCTGGAGTCCTTGGGTGGTGCAAATGGTTAATGAGTCCAGCCACTAACCAAAAGGCTGCAAGTTTGAGGCCAATCAATACTCAGAAGAAAGGCCTGGTGGTGAACTGAAAAACCAGCCACTGAAAACCCTGTATGTAGAGTTCAGTTTTATTTGAACACAGATGAGGTGGCCGTGAGTTGGAGCGAACTCAGTGGCAATTGGTTTTGTTTTTTTCCTCTTTTTCTAGAATGCTGTACTTGAACAAACTCTTATACTTCCTTTAAAATCCAACCACGAAGTTTACTCTGATTTTCCATACATAGCTAACTCAGCATCTTCAACAAAGAACTTCCTTAGCATTCTAATCATACCTCTCTTTCTGCACTTATCACCTTGTATCATAATTTTCTGTTTGTATGTTTGTAACCATCACTTAACTGTGAACTCTTTCAGGGCAAAATCTGGTGTTTTCACATTTAAATAAAAAAAATTGTATTCACTTTTTTTTATCACCAAAATGTAGCACCAGGCTGACATCAAAATTAGTATGATTAAAGGATGGCATAGTGATTTGCTCTGGCCTCTCACTAACTGACCTTTCATACCTTTTAATTTTTCCTCCCCTCTTGATTATAATCTTCCCATATTTTCCTAAACAATTTCCACTTCCTGCCCTTTTATACTGAAAATTATCTTTCTAGTTCTTGTGGCTCCTATTACCCCAGTGTTTGGAAGTTTCTTTTTGGCTGTGTCTTCTACTTTTTTAAGGTATTTTTTATTTTGTTTTGTTTTTTTGATTAACCAGCAGTTTGTTTATTTTTTTTCATCCAAGAACAAAAACCCAGATGACAAAACTCAATCCAGATTTACACAGCTGTTTGTTTTCTGCAAGGAAGCGAGGAAGTGAAATACCAGGTAAGCACTGAACATTTTGTAAGTAGATAGAGGGGTGTCAGGCCTGTACATCTGTACCTTAAAGGTCAATATAAGATGGCTGAACTGAAATAATGCCTCTAGGTCCAGTCTGATGCTGACATGATCAAGACCTAAGGAAAAATCCAGAAAGAAGGAAATTAGTGGTTCTGAGAAACCCCTTTTAACATGTTAACTGCTCACTGCTACTTGCATGAGATAAAATCTCTGAAATCACATGGCCAGTGATCACCGCTCTTTTCCAGTCTGTTGACCATTCCATGCCCAGGAGAGGATCTATGTGAGAACAATACAGGATTTTTCCTGATGGGACCCACACCCACATTTTGGTGGTAACATACACAGCCACTGTGTGGCAGCATTTCATACCACCAAGGGAGTCCCTTGACATTTCCCAAAAATGGACCGAGAGGACTCACTTCCTTGTACACAAGTTTTAACAACACATGAACATGAGCTATCAAGCCTTAGTTTGATAAAAACCAACACACCTTTTTCTTTCAACAACTCTAGCTCATTTGAATTAGAGGGTTCTTATTTTTTTGCTCTTGGCATAAAACACTGCTTGGAATCTTGCCCTTGGAGTCAGGTTCTGGGAGCTACTCCATGGTTGAGGAGAAGACAGAAGAGTGCTGATCAGGACTTTGCACTGAGCTAGTTAGCTATGGTCCATCTCTAGCATGGGCAAGGAGGGCCTGCCCCAAACTGGACATACTGAGATTCTCTTTAGATCTCTTTAGAGCAGCACTGTGCAATTGAAATACAATGAGTCACACGTGTAATTTTAAATTTTCTAGTGGCCACATGGAGCTCTGGTGGCGTAGTGGATAAGGCACTTGACTGCTAACTGGTAGGTCAGCGGTTCGAACCCACCAGCTGCTCCGTGGAAGGAAGACACGGCAATCTACTTCTGTAAAGATTTACAGCCTCAGAAACCAATGGGGGTTGCTATGAGATGGAAATGACTCGATAGCAGTGAGTTTAGTAGCCATATTTAAAAAAGTAATAAGAAACAGGTGAAATTAATTTTAATAGTATATTGAATCTAATATATCAAAACTATTATCATTTCAACATATAATTAGTATTAACTAGTAATCCCTTATTTGACTGTCTTTCCCTACAAGCTAAGGGCTTAGAAATCTGGTATGTTTTCATACTTTTAGCACATTTCAATTCAGACTAGACACATTTCCAGTGCTCAGTGAGTGGACTGCAGTAAATTAGGGTTAAGCTTAAAGCTCTAGGCGAAACAGCTTGGGAAAAGGCCTGTTACTGGTAGGGCCATCATGTTCCAGGTCTGTGTCAGGGATCCCTATCCTTTCCAAAAAGAAGTCTACTTTCTCCTCTCTAAAGTGCCTGATTGAGAACACTTATTCTATGTAATTGTCTCTGTATGGGACATTTTCTTTCTGAGAACACATGGAACAAATACTGAACATGCAGATCAAAATAGCTATTGCACAAAAATGGGCAGTATTCATCAATGAAGACAGGTGATTGTGGCAAAAATCACCCTGTGTTCATCAAGGAAGTTCTAACTTGAGAGCCATAATTAGAATAAAAAATGAACTGGTATTTAGAGCTTGATCTGACAATAGTTTAAGCACAGATGAGACCTTTAAGGGTCAGAGAGCTTAAATTCATGGTGATGAAACAGTAAGGGTAGAGATAGTGAGATGGTGACACTGTGAAGTATACAAGCAATGCTATTGAACTGTTCATGTAGCAATTGTGAATGGATGTAAGATTGGTTGTGTAAATTGCCACCAAAAATTTTAAAAAAGTATTTTTTTAAAAAAGCAAAATGAATTAGCCTTTAGTAGACATCAATCATGTATTTGTCAAATGGATAATATTGAAACCAAAAAACGAAGACCAAACCCATTACCATCGAATTGATTCTGACTCATAGTGACTTCTATGGGTTTTCAAGGCTGTAAATCTTTACGGAAGTAGATTTCCTCATCTTCCTGTCGTGGAGCAGCTGGTGGGTTTGAACTGACTACATTTTGGTTAGCAGCCCAGTGCCTTAACCACAGTGCTACCAGAGCCCCTTTAACATAGAAAAGAAGCCTCATATTACCCTTGTCCTAACTATTTCATGTATTATGATTATTCCCGCATTCTCTTTTAATAATCTAGGAAACTTTACTGTAAATACGTTTAGACATGTCAAGAGAATAGGGGATTGTAGCCAAAAGTGCAACAGAGAGAGATTTGGTGAGTGGTATCATTTTCTGGGAGTGAAGGAAAAGTGGAAGAATTCCAGGAGCCTGGTGGCACAGTGGTTAAGCACTCAGCTGCTAACCAAAATGTTGGTGGTTTGAGCTCACCAGCCACTCCCTGGGAGAGAGATGTGGCAGTCTGCTTCCACAAAGATTACAGGCTTGGAAACCCTTCACAAAAAGATAAACCAAATCCATTGCCATCAAGTTGATTCTGACTCATAGCGACCCCCATTGGATTTCCAAGGCTGTAAATCTTTATGGAAGTAGATTGCTTCATCTTCCTCCCATGGAGCAGCTGGTGGGTTTGAACCCCTGACCGTCTGCTTAGCAGCCAAATGTCTTACCCTATGGGTCAGTTCTTTTTTGTCATATAGGGTCACTGTGAGTTGGAATTATCCCCACAGCAGTGGGTGGGAATGGTTCTAGGCCAGTATTGGGAAGGGGCCATTTTGAGTGAGCTAACTTTCACTGGGAAAGTGTACATTGGGTGGAAATGCATTTGGACACGTAAGCCCCAAGGTTGGGAGTGGGCCATGAGGAATCCCTGGCTGGAGTCCACACTTAGAGTGAGGGGCTAGGAAACATGGATGGTCAGGGCCAGTGTGGTGTTCTATATTACAATTTTTCATGAATAGGGCAGGGTGTATATCCAGAAATGAAAGAACCTCAGTCTACCTCAACTACCCTTTCAATTCATTTTTATATTGTAACTATTTGCCTTGTAACAAGAAGCAAAGAATCTGCCTTTTCCCTCTCCTACATGTATCGGAAGAGTTCAGGTGGCACAGTGGTTAAGTGTTTTGCTGCCAACCAGCCACTCCATGGCAGGAAGATGTGGCAATCTGCTTATGTAAAAATTACAACCTAGAAAATCCCATGGGGCAGTTCTACTCTGTCCTACAGGGTCAGAATCAACTAGGTGGCAATGGGTTTGGTGTTGGTTTTGGTATATGTTTTGCAGAGGAAAAAGCACATGGTGCTAACTCTCAGTTTCTCCCTGGAGTTATTCCTTTAGTTTGCATCAGTGTGTTTTACATTAGGCTTAACTTACCAACATCCCATAAACTTTCTCGTTTTTTACAAATAAGAACAAAAGGATGCACAGATATTTCTCCTCCTATATGAAAACAGTGACCCACTTTGAGTTATGTGTTTAAAATACATTCTGAGTTCTTTAAAGGAAAATATGTCTTTTTTAAGTAAAAATAAATTTTGGTCTTATATGAGGCTCTACTACATTCTTTGGAACACTGTCTCCTTCCAATTCTTGCTGCAACATTTTAAAACCATACGGAGAGAAAGATGGGTTATTCAGAATAGAAAGAGATAAAAATGTGGAAAGGATCTTAATCATACCATTTTCAGATTGCCACCATTTCTTTTCTCTATCTGGTTCAAAACCTGTGATGACATTCTCAATGGTGTGGCTGTCAGGGTTGGTATATGGATCATAAGGAAATCTGGAGTCGCAGATGAAACATTTTTGTTCCCTCTGGAAAACATCAGTGTTAAAATTTAAAATAAAGGATTGTAATTGCTTATTGTTCATTTCAATTTAAAAATCAAGCTGTGCTTACTATATTTGCCTTTCAATCTGGCTAAAAATAAGAAGCAGAGGAAATAACACGACATCACTTTTTTCCCATCAATAGGTGCTTAAATACAATAATAAACTAAAGTTAAATATGACCTAGAAATTTTATAAATTTATACAGTTAGGGTTCAAATGCAAATTTATGGAGAACTAATTTTTCTCATATAGGAGGCAGATGATCTGGAATTTGTTTTAAATTGTAGAGAAATAATTAGGATTTATTTTTTGAGTTAGAATTACTTCCTTCAGTTAAAAAAAAGAGGACTATTTGGCAAGAAATTAATTTTTAAAAATGGGCATAGGTTTTCTGCTGCCATCATTCTTTCTATCTCAGATTTTACAGCATTTTTAGTAGAAAAGCCTCCAAAGCCTTCATATCACAAATGTGAATTTTGTAAAAGATTTCCATTAAACTGATAACAGAGAGGCCTGCCCTCTTCTCTCACAGACTAGAAGGTCTTATTAATGAGTTGGAACTAGTTTTGCCTGGGATGGATTTTTCAAAGGTTACCAAAACCTGACCTTTGAGTTTGCTTAATTGAATGCATAGATTTGTGACTGTACTTAAAACTCCTGAGGAGCTCTCCAAAGATTTCCAAAGGTCTGCCAGTGGCCCACACAGTTGTTCTGGCTAATGCTTGCAGGACTCTGAAAAAGCTTTTGCAAAGCTTTCAGGAAGCAGGGATTGTTTATCACAATTCTCTGTGCTGGAAATGAAGAAGTCCTGGTGGTGCAGTGGTTAAAGCATTTGGCTGCTAATCAAAAGGTCAGTGATTGGAACCCACCAGGTGCTCTGCAGGAGGAAAATGAGGCAGTTTGCCTCCATAGAGATTTACAGCCTTGGAAACCCTATGAGGCAGTTCTGCTCTGTCACATAGGGTCACTAAGAATTGGAATTGACTCAAAGGCAGTGGGTTTTTGTCGGGTTGGCAGTTGCTCCTTAGGAGAAAGATGCAGCTGTCTGCTTCCGTAAAGATGTACAGACTTGGAAATCCTGTTGAGCAGTTCTGCTCTGTCCTGTAGGAGCTCTATGAGTTGGAATTTGACTTGAAGGCAGTGGGTTTTGGGGTTGGTGCTGGAAATGCCTACAGTGGCATAATGTCCTGGTCAGTACTTGGTTAATGTGGTTTGATTGGTTGGCCTGAGCTGCCTGTTTGCCCTTTCCTCTGCTGTCCTCCCCTCACTCATTTGGTTCGAGCCACACTTGCTCCTTGCTGTTGCTTAAGCACACAAGAACCCTCTTGCTTTAGGGTCTTGGACAATGCTTTTCCCACTCTGAGATGTTCTTATCTCCTGCTCCTTCCCTTCTGGTCTCTGTGTAAATGCCACCCTCTCAGAAAGACCTTCCTTGACCACTCTGCCTAAAATGCCACCACTTCCCCAACCATGGCCTTCTGCTGTGCTCTATTCCTATGACCTGCTTCATATAGTTTTTAAGCCCTTATCACTACAAGAAACTATCCTGTATAGTTGTAAGCGTATTGCCTGTCTCTATTATTAGAATTTAGGAGCTTTGGTAGCGTAATGCCTAAGGCACTTGACTGCTAACCAGAAGGTTGGCGGTTCAAACCCACCAGCCACTCCTTGGAAGGAAGACCGGGCAATCTACTTCTGTAGTGATACTGCCTTGGAAACCCAAGGAGGGGTTGCTATGAGTTGGGTCCGACTCAACAGCACATAACAACAAATAACAACATCATTAGAATTTAAGCTGAATGAAGGCAAGGGCTTTTTTTTTTTTTTTTTGTGCATATCCTCATTACTCAGAATACTGCCTGGTACAAAATCAAACAAACAAACAAAAAAAAACCCAAACCCATTGCCATCAAGTTGATTCCAACTCATAACAACCCCCATTGGGTGTCCAAGGCTGCAAATATTTACAAAAGTAAATTGCCTTATCTTTCTCCCAAGGAGCAGCTGATAGGCTTGAACTGCCAACCTTGGAGTTAGCAGCCAAATGTCTTATCCACTACACCACCAGAGCTCCTTAATAGATAATAAGAAGAGTACATGATGATTTTAATGATTATTTCAGCTAGTAGAGTTTGTTCAAGTAAACCAACCATTTAAGAGAGCTCTGGTAGCATAGTGGCTGAGACACTTGCCTGCTAACCAGACGGCTGGTGGTTCAAACCCACCAGCCACTCCTCGGAAGGAAGGTTGGGCAATCCTACTTCCGTAGTGATACTGCCTCGGAAACCCAAGGAGGGGTCGCTATGAGTTGGGGCTGACTCGACGGCACATAACAACAACAACAATATAATCAGTGAGGAGCTCTGGTGGCATAGTGCCTAAGGCACTTGACTGCTAACCAGAAAGCTGGCAGTTCAAGCCCACCAGCCACTCCTCAGAAGGAAGGTTGGGCAATCTACTTCAGTAGAGATACTGCCTTGGAAACCCAAGGAGGGATTGCTATGAGTCAGATTTGACTCAATGGCAGTGAGGTTTTTTTCTGTTGTTGTTATACAGTCAGTGCATTTTAGAATCACTGACCTCCATGATGTTTTATATGAAGAAAACCAAAGTTCTCCTTGGAAATTAAGGAGCAATGGAAGCTAGATCAATTCTGCATAAGGGTAGGCTTGTCCCAGACCTGCCCTAAAAGAGCAGCAGAAACCAAGACTCTGAAGTGTTTCTAATAGTACTTAATTATTGGGGAAAACGTCTAATTAACTTCAGGGTTTGCTGGCCATTTTTCTGTAAACATTTTAGAAGCATAGTCTTGTTGGGACTGGCCAAAGGGGATTCTTATTTGTGGGAACTAGATGGGAGAATCCCAGGTTGGTTAACACTATGAGTCAATATTGATTTGAAGCTTTGGAAGAAAATGTTTTGCTGGGCAGGTCATTGTTAGATAATAGGCAGAAAAAAATCATCCCCCATCTTGCATGAATGTTATAGGCTTACTTGTAATATTTTGGGAGCCTGACGATATTTTGAGGCTTCTTCTAGCCCCAAAATTTATGATTTGCTTTATTCTCTAAACAAAATAAGTTTTCTGCAGTTTTAGTTATGCTGTTTTTTGGATATAACTTTGAGAGAAAGAAACACCAATTTCTAATTATTATCAGAATATGTTGCCTCATGACAACAGTGGCTGAAGAACAAGATGAGTAATGCTAGGGTTGGAAAGTTTCTAATATTAGAGTTGAGAACTACTTCCTTGTCTAGACATAGTCACTTGAAGAACCACTTGGCCTTGAGTTGAGCAAAACTTCCACTGTGTAATTTCCTAGCACACGTAGAGGATTTGCTTTCAGACACAGGTACTTCCCAAAATTAGAGCAGGGCTAAGCATCCAACCAAGTATTGTCTCCACTTATTTATAATCACTGTCCTTTGCTAGGAACCCATTAGATACAAAGCATTTCCCAAATACCTAAATGAGTAACCTTAAATGAACAATTCATGGAAGAGCCTGGGCCCTGACATTAGGCTTCTGTCCAACTTCCTTCATGAACATCCTCTCATTTAAGTGGTTGACATGATTGCCTCAGGCTTTTCAGCAGGTAAGATACTCAAATGACCTCAGATGCCTGTTCTGCTCCTGGATCCCACAGAGAAAGAGAGAGAGAGAGAGAAGAGAAGGGGGAGAGAAACCTATGAAGGTTACAGGTTTTTTTTATATATATATATAAACTTTCTCTTTAAGAGAAAACAGCTAGTTGCACAAAAAAAAAAATATGTTATATCGGGAATTTATGGTTGTTAGAAAATTTTCAAGTGGCATCATGGGGTTGGTGTACAATGACTTCAAAGTTCTCCACTCCCTTCTATGTAAGGCAGAACAATGAGAACTTAACGGTCTTGAAGCCCTAAGGAATCTTCAGTCTTCACTGAAAGAGTCAATTATGTCCCTCTGTGGGAATCACTGGAGAGGATCAGTGGAAAAGGGGAAGATCATCAGTTAGGTGGATTGACACAGTGGCTGTGACAATGGACTCAACCATAGCAAAGATTGTGAGGATGGTGCAAGGCTGGCATTGTTTCATTCTGTTGTACATAGGGTCGCTATGAATTAGAACAACTTGAAGGTACCTAAAAACAACATGAGAGTCACTAAGGAGCTATGGTGACACAGGGGTTAAGTGCTCATCTGCTAACTGAATGGTCAGCAGTTTGAACCTACTTGGCACTCCCAGGGAGAAACATGTGGCAGCTGGCTTCCTTCTGTAAAGATCACAGCCTTGGAAACCCTATCAGGCTGTTCTACTCTGTCCTGTTGGGTCTTTATGAGTCAGAATTGACTCTACAGCAATGAGTTTGTTTGGTTGGTTGGTTTTTGGTTATGGGAGTCATTAAGGCAGCTAAGTAGACCAATAGCCTGTATCTGTAGGAATTTATAGTCGAAGACTGAACCAAAATATTTTTCTTCTAACTCTAAAAGTAACAAGAAATATAAATTAAGCAGATCTCCTCCATTTCCTGATTAGTCATGGTTTCCTGGACTTTGAATTATATTAGCTATGTCTTCTTTCTTTTTCTTTAGAGTTGTTTGGTTGCCCCAGATATACTTGGGAAAGGAGATCACTGTTGAAGTAACATCCCAACAAGTAAACAAAGGACCAACCCACCTCCAGGTAGCTGAGGATGCAGTATTTCTGGGCTCCTCTTAGCCCACAGGTAGAAGAGGCCGTTAGCTGAGCACCACGCCCCACTAGGAGATCACCAGTGGTAGGATGACAGGCACCCCTGTTGCATTCGTCTTGAGCTTTCAAGTAAGGAAGTAACCCTTGAACACAAAAGAAACAGTGACATGGCAAGGCAACCTAAGGCAGCACAAGGTTTGAAGAAGCACCTGGTTAGTTGCACAGCCAATAGTCTGCTTATTTTTAACCAGTTTTGTTATTCATTAAGACCCCAATTAGTGGATGCTGTTGGTACTCTCAGCCTGATAAAATGAGCCTAGTCTGGAGGTAATACCGTCTGTGTTCCCAGTGCCAACCAAAAGGAGGCTAAATTGGAGAAAACATAATTATGCATGGATGGTGGGAATGTAAAATGATGCAGCTACTATGTAAAACAGTTTGGCAGTTCCTCAAAAGTTAAGCATAGCACTACCATATGACTCAGCAATTGCATCCTAGGTAAATACCCCAAAGTCTTGAAAGCAGGAACTCAAACAGATACTTGTACAGCTATGTTCATTGAAGCATTATTTGCAATAGCCAAGAGGTGGAAATACCCCAAGTGTCCATCAATAGATAAAAGGATAAATAAAATGTGATATATATGTGTATGTGTGTACATGTGTGAGTGTGTATGAATATTATCCAGCCATACAGAGAATTAAGTTCTGATAAGTGCTGTGACATAGCCTTGAAAGTATTATGGTGAGTGAAACAGGTCAGATAAAAAAGGACAAATATTGTATGATTCCACTTGTATGAAATATCTAGGGACTGAAGGGAGGAGGAAATGGAGAGTTATTGCTTAAAGGGCATTGAGTTTCTGTTTGAGGTGATGAAAAACTTTTGGAAACAAAAAGTGGTAATTTTTGCACAACATGGTAAATACAATTAATGTCACTGAATTATACACTTAAAAATGATTCAAATGGCAGTTTTTTATTATGCATTTTTACTGCAATATTTATTTAAAGATGCTGAAGACAATAAATTTGGGAAATACTATTCTCCGCCTTTGGATATTCTGCTGTTGTTACTTGTGGTTTAACTAAGGTTTGCCTTATAGTGATTTATTCTGTTAGACAAGTTTCATCCTGAATTCTTTTATTGCAATTGTTGCCTTAGAGATTCAACATGTTTTTATAACTTGACTTGGCCAAACTTGTCCTGATTAGATGTGTAGTTTTCAGAACTAGAACTATTCCAGGACTTAGAGAAACATATCATATTATAACACATATTATAACATATTATAAATAAAAATATGAATTTCTTTTAAAATTTAAAATACTTGGCAAAAAGTGGCAAGAAGCATAAGTAGTTGAAACTTCATGCCTGAACATAGACTCAACAAAATCCTTTCTGGGCAGAAGTTTTCAACTGTCAGATTATCACATTAGCAACAGTTTAGAATTGATTCAGAGAATAAAGATGCTTGTATCTTTACACAATGAATGTGCTTCTCAAAACTGACATACTGTTTGAAGATAAAATCTTACTAAAAATTCATTTAGGAGATCTAGTCATTTAGACGGCAAACAACAACAACAACAGTCATTTAGAAGGAACTCTGATGGGACGGTGCTTAAGGCATTCTGCTATTAACCAGAAGTTGGCTGTTAGAACACACCAGTTGCTCTGCGGGAGAAAGATGAGGTAGTCCGCTTCCGTAAAGATTTATAGCCCTGGAAACCCTTTGCGGCAGTTCTGCTCTTGTAAGATGGCCATGAGATGGAATCGACTCAATGGCAGTAGTTTTGAGGGTCACTTACAGAAAACTTGGAGTAAATTCTTCTATAAAGCAAAGAGTCATTTTGTAGAAATAACTATTATTTCATAATTTCCTTATTTAATACTTTATTATTAATTTAAAAAATATATGAGATATTTTCCCATATATTAAACTTCATGTCAGAGTTTTAGAGAATGTAAACCTATATGCATAGGTTTATCATTATGGACAAGAAAAGGTACAGAGAATGCGTATCAGAAAAGGTTTGGACCTTGCAGCCAGTTCCTTAAACTCATGGGGCCAATGCACTTCTTAGGCTTCTTTGTTTTCAACTCTCAGTCAAAATGCATGACAAAGTTATTAAATAGACACCAGTATTTTTAGTACATATATTTTCTATACATATAAGCAAGGAGCTCTGGTTGCATAGTGCCTAAGGCATTTGACTGCAAACCAGAAGGTTGGCAGTTCAAACCCACCAGCCACTCCATGGAAGGAAGATTGGGCAATCTACTTCTGTAAAGATTTACTGTCTCGGAAACCCAAAAGGGGTCACTCTGAGTCAGAATCGACTTGATAGCAGTGAGTTTGTTTGTTTCTTTTTTGGATACATACGTGTGTGTGTGTGTGTGTGTGTGTGCGCGTATACATTTATATGTATTTAAAACTATACATTTTATAAATGCTTGGGCATTTTTTGGTTGGTAATTCAACCATTTGCCACTCATCTGTCATGTTGTTGTCCCTTAGTGGCTTGCATGTTGCTATGATTCTGCAAGATATGCCACTGGTATTGCAAACACAGTGGATAGTTTTCAGGAACTTTCAGACTAAGACACACTAGGAAAAAAGACCCGGCCATGTACTTCTGAAAATTAGTCCATGAAAACCCTATAGATCACAGCAGAATATTGCTGATACAGGCTGAAAGATGAGCCACGTAGGTGGGAAGGCATCCAAAATGCATCGTGGCTACCGTGGACTCCAGCATATCAATGGTCATGAAGATGGTGCCAGACTGGGCAACATGCTTCATGCTGTGACACATGAGGTTGCCGTAGTCAGAGCTGACTTGTGTCAACTACTAATAACTCATAACCATGGGCAACCCTAGAGGTTCAGGCTGGATCACAGCACCCTTAGGTTTAGAAATCCAGGGTAAGCCTTTTTCTGTTCAAGCTTGTTTAGTTTCGAAGCTCTCCTCTCCAGAGAGTGGGGTCTCCTGGCCTGGGAGGGCTATCTGAGCAATTCTGGAGTGACTTAGAATTTTGGGAAGTGTGAGTAAGTTATCCTACACAGAGGCTGGGAGAAGCATCCCCTTCTGATGTAGAATACTGATTCAGTCCCAGAGAGACTATCCAGGGCAGATGTGCTCTGACTGACGGAGGTCAGACCTGAGGCTCACGTCCCGGGTGTTGAGTTCAATCCAAGAGTCCCAGAAGGATCACAAGAATCTGCTGCCACTGGTTGGTGGCTCCCATTGCTGAGGCAGGGACTTTCAACAGAGAAAGAACCGGAGGTCTCCATCTGGAGCTGTTCTTTCCTCCATTACCAGCAAATCCAGCTGGGAAATGACTTCAGGGTTGAGGAATGGCAAAATCACAAAGGTGAGAGTCTTAGTTTGCTCCCATGAAGAAACTGAACACATGTTTTTGAAGAGAAGATTCTAAGACATTCAGTTAGTGTTTACTGCCTCCAGGCAGGGTCGTTGTGGCTCTAGAAATGCTGGCAACAGAGGGAGCAGTTGTTGGAAACATCTTTTCTATGACGAATGCAAATCATTCTCAGCTTATTAAAGTCCGCAGAGGCATGGAGAATTTGGCCTTCTAGTTTAGAGCTGCTGCTTATTTAGAAGAGGAAACTTTGCCTATAAAATCTTCATAAGACCTCAACATTGGGACAGTTGCTACCCTGAAAGCAGAATTATTTTAAAAAACCAAGACACATGATACATGTCAATTAAGAATCTGAAAGTATTTTCCTAGCATTATCAGCTGATAATAACATTCCATTGAAAACCCATTGCCTCTGAGTCCATTCCCACTCATAGCAACACCATGTGTTAATAAGCAGAGCTGCTTCATAGGGTTTTCTTGGCTGTAATCTTAATGGAAGCAGATCACCAGGCCTTTCTTCCATGACGCTGAATCTCTACCTTTAAGTTAGTAGTATTTACGTGTGAATGCTAAGCATGACTGAGTGTAATTTCTAATCGCTTGATACAATAACACAACAGAATGTTTTTTTTTGTTGTTGTTATGTGCCATGGAGTCAGACTCAACTCATAGTGACCCCTCCTTGGATTTCTGAGGCGATATCACTATAGAAGTAGATTGCCCAACCTTCCTTCTGAGGAGTGGCTGGTTGGTTTGAATCGCCACCCTCCTGGTTAGCAGTCAAGTGCCTTAGGCACTATGCCACCAGAGCTATGCATATGTATAAACTCATTGCCATCGAGTCATTTCTGACTCAAAGCAACCCTGTAGGACAGAGTAGAACTGTCCCATAGAGTTTTCAAGGCTGTAATTTTTGCAGAAGCAGCTGCTACATCACTCTCCTGCAGAGTGGCTGGTGGGTTTGAACCATCAACCTTTCGATTAGCAGCTCAGCACTTAACCACTGCACCACCAGGACTCCTCTTGCAGATATATAGCATTATGGAAAAAAAGAATTAGATATGTTTTAAAATTACTTCTACTAAATGTTTTAAGACAATTCAACACAGGCAGCCAATGGATTTGGACAGCTAATACTCACCAAGGTGGAAAAAAAGAGTCAGTTGAAACTGCATTTCTTTCTCTGGAAATGATTAATTTCAATTTTGCTAGGTTAGAAAAAATAGGTCAAAGTCAGTCACTGATAGAGTCAATAATTGTTATCATCACACAGATAAGCCCTGAGGGCTCCTATTCTTTTGGAATACAAGATAATCCCAATGCTCAGTTCCTTAAAAAATAGGAGTGTATAAAATATTTACAGATATTTGTTCATTATTAATGTTTTTCATATTGTAGCATCACAAAATATGTTGTGGAAAATAATATAAAATAAATGTAATTTCCTTAGTATACTTTAATTCATTTTTTGCCCATTTATATTGTCATGAAATTTTTCCTAAATTAATTCCTTAATTAGCAAACACTTATTGCAGTGGGTTGGGAAGGAAGAAGATAAGCTGATCTTCTACACTAATATTTTTAATTGCTGCGTACTGTTTCTCTGAATCCAGGAACTAGAATTTATTTAATGAATCCCCTATTATGTCCACTTTTATCTCTAATATTTTTCTATTATAAATATTTCTGTTAAATCTTTGTGCATATCCTTAATTTTTCCAAATGATATTTTAAATGGAGTGGAAATGATGTGTCAAAGAATATATATATATAATGGCACAGTGGTTAAAGCATGCAGCTTCAAATTAAAAATGTGGCGGTCCAATACCACCTGCCTCTCCACAGGAGAAAGAGGAATCAGTCTGCTTCCATAAACATTTACAGCCTTGGAAATCCTATGGGACTGTTCTAATCTGTCCTATCAGATTGCCTTGAGTCAGAATTGACTAACTGACAGTGGGTTATTTTGGTTTTATATACATACGGTTGGGAGCTCTGGTAGCATAGTGGCTAAGACACTTGCCTGTTAACCAGATGGCTGGCGGTTCAAACCCACCAGCCACTCCTCGGAAGGAAGGTTGGGCAATCCTACTTCCGTAGTGATACTGCCTCGGAAACCCAAGAAGGAGTCGCTATGAGTCGGGGTCATAACAACAACAACAACATACATACGGTTGATGTTGTTGCTAGTTGCCATCAAGTTGAGTTGGATTCACAGTGACCTCACATGTGCACAGTAGAACTGTTTCATAAGGTCAAGGCTGTGACCTTTTGGAAGCAGATTACCAGGCCTGTCTTCTGAGGTACATCTGGATGGGTTCGAACCGCCGATCTTTTGTCTAGTAGTCTAGCACTTAACTGTTTGCACCAGCCTAGGATATATATATACACACACATACATGCACTCGGTCACACCCTGACACAGATATTTATGTACCATACTCTGTTAGCATAGTACGTAAGGCACTTGACTCCTAACCAGAAGGCTGGTGGTTCAAACCTACCAGCCACTCCTTGGAAGGAAGATTGGGCAATCTACTTCCATAGTGATACTGCCTCGGAAACCCAAGGAGGGGTCGCTATGAGTCAGGGCCAACTCGATGGCACATAACAACAACAACACATGTACATGTATACATGAGCCAAAGGCAAACCCAGAGCTGCTGAGTAGGTTCGAGTCACCAACCTTTAGGTTAGTAGGCCAGTGCAAACCATTTGTGCCACCCAGTGACCTCTAAATATGTACATAAATACACATACATACTCAACGGCTAAAAAAGGTTGGCAGTTTGAATCCACTTAGAGGTGTCTAGAAAGAGAGATCTGGTGATGTCCTGAAAGATCACAGCTATTGAAAACCCTGTGGGACACAGACCTATGGACCCATGGGCCACCATAAATTGGAAACAACTCGATGGCAACTGGTGGTGACATATATCTCCACACATGAAACCCTGGGTGTATAGTGTGCAACTGCCATGTGGAAGGTTAGTCCCTATTGACATGCTCACCTACAGCTAGGAGAGCATGTGTTGCCCTGATCTCTTGCCAACACTGCATATTATGAACTTTTAAATCTTTGTCAATCCACAAAAGCAAATAAATGCCTCACCATTATTTCAATAGTAGTGAGGTAAAAATTTTTTTAAATGTATTTATAGGTCAGAGTTATTTTTGATAGTCTCTTTTTGAAGACTTTTCTTAATGAATTCTTTCTTTGTGCTACTAATCTTGTATTCTTAATCCCTGTAATCCCACATTCCCTGCACTTCAACTTTAGCACATTCCCTGCTCTCTGAACCCTCTTCTCATGCTGTTGCCTTTGCTTAGAATGCCACTCTCCTAAACTAAATGCCAGCACCTCTATGAAGTCTTTTAAAACCAAACCAAACTCACTGCTGTCAAGTCGGATCCTACTCACAGCAACTCCTCCTTGGGTTTCTGAGGCGGTATCACTACGGAAGTAGATTGCCCAGTTTTCCTTCCGAGGAGTGGCTGCTGGGTTTGAATCGCCAGCTTTCTGGTTACCAGTCAAATGCCTTAGGCGCTATGCCACCAGAGCTCCCATGAAGTCTTTTAGGAAGATTGAAATGCCTGATTTTAGCAAATTTCCCATGTTCTGATCCAAGCTTTTTACACAGTCTAGTATTCATTTCTGAAGTCAAATGTCCTAAGAAAATGACACCCTGAGAAGTTACCCCTGCAGCATCTCCATTTGAAAATGGCTACGTACAAGTTTGGACTAATGACATTATACAAAACCTTGTAAAGACCTGCAGGATAATCCAGAGTGCAGTCTCAGGAAGGTCCCTTCTGCATTCTGGATACACTACCTGGGCCGAGTGCTTTTTCTAGGTGGTATTCCCCTGTCCTCAGAGCCAGGCCCGTCAACCTCAGGTCAGTTACCCAGAGACACTTTGATAATCTGACATGCCCAGTCCTGAGGTTGTCCTGGATTCAGAAACCATGCCTCACTGCTTCGTTCTGCCAGGAATGCAGAATGATTGGCAACATGGTTATCCTTTTAATAAGAATGGGCACTATAAGCAAAATTTAAAAATATTATTTTCTATAACCAAAGAAGGAGCCCTGGTGGTGCAATTGTTGAGTACTCAGCTGCAAACCAAAAGATTGGTAGTTCGAATGTATCAGCAGCTTTTGAGGTCTTTAAAGATTAGAGCTTAGAAAACCCTATTAAAAAAACAAAATACCTGCAGTGATACAAAATACCTGCAGTCCTTACAGAAACAATAGAAGACAGACACAGAGTAATCCCTCACAGTCATCCCAACACTATGGGAGAGAGATCCAATAGAGCTACTACCTCAGGACCATAGTACTGGGGGTACACCAGACTCAACTGGCACAACAAAATACATAAATGCATTGCTCCACAATCTACACTGGTGAGTAGCAACTGGGGTCTTAAAAGCTTTCAAGCAGCCATCTAAGATGCAGCTAATAGTCTCCTAGTACCAGAAATGAAGAAGAACGTACAAAAAAAAA